TTTCTTTCTTTCCTTTTCTATTTGATTCCTGGGGCTTTCCAAAAGAGTTTGCATGAGACTCCTGTCCTTCAGAGGCTTTTTAAAGTTTTTGTTTGTTTTGTTTTTTAAGTAGTGAATGGAGGCTATGGCTCAATGAACTCACTGTTTTGTTTATTTTCATATTTCTAGCAAGTAATGGTGCCAGGATTCAAACTCAAGTCTTCTGATTATTCATCCCATGTCCTTTGAACTTGAACACAGTGTTTAGCACAAACTAAAACTTATAATAATGTTTATTTGACACATTTAACTACATAACTACGTGAACATTGGTGATTGGGCTGCCTAGCCATTAGGCATCCATGGTAGGTTACAGAAATGAAAAGGGTGAATATGTTTGAGGCACAAAGTCAACATTTGTAGGCTGAGGGGTGAGCAGAGAAGGAGAATAAAGAGATTGTGGTTCCCCACCGGGCTTCCCTGCAGGCACCAGGGGCTCATTTTAGGGAGGTGTTGTCCTGCAGGCTTGGGGCCTCAGGCTTGGGAAGTGAGACAAGGCAGAGGCTGGGAGTGGTGAACATCTTTCATTTCACAGCACTTAAGCTGGGACGCCATCATTAAGTTCTAGGGGGAAAAAAGAAAGTATGGTAAATGCCTCAGAGAAGCAATAAGCTAAAACAATGAATATGTAGGCAGGTGGTTAAGGTGACAAGTTCATACTGTGCTGATTAGTTTTACCTGTCAACTTGACTGGGCCACAGAGTACCCAGATAGTGGGTTAAACGTTATTCTGGGTGCGTCTATGTTATAGCTATGATTGTATGAGTATGTAGTGACCCTCATATTTCAATATTAAGTTGTAACCCTATGTGAGACCCACAAAACCTGAATGTACTTTCCCAAATGAGTGAAGGCCCAGAACTTGTACCCTAGACCCATATCGCACCAGTACAGCACACCACAGCCAGCGGCCACCGATAAGGACCGTCGTGTTTACTCGACCACATAAAAAGCCCGGACTTTTGACACTCAGTGTCCCCTGCCCCAAGAGAGGAGGACTCCACATCACTCTGCAAGATGACCCCGAGACGCTCCGCCGAGACAGAGACCGGCTGCTCCTGTTTTCATCTTCGTCCTTGTCGTGTGCATTGCCGGGTGGCCATGCTGGTGCTAGGATCCACTAGGAATTGGTAATAAACCCCTGTGTGATGGCAGATTGACTTCTGTCTCTGTGTGTTGATGTTTATGACTTGGCTCTGTTGCCTTAGGCCTTAAAGATCCGAGGGGGACGTTGTTATCCTGAACCTTGGACACCTGTGCTTGTCCCGAGCAGGCTAAGCCAGAATAAGAAATTAATAGAATTTGGGGTCAACTGGGATAGTCTATGAGGGTGTTTTGAGGTAAAATTAACATTTGAATCATAAGACTGAGTAAGGCAGATTGCTCTCCCGAATAAGGGTGGGCCTCATTCAATCAGTCAAAGAACTGAATAGAACAAAAAGGCTGCCCCTGCCCCTAGTAAGAGGAGTAAGAGAGAATGCGCCCTGCCAGACCGCCTTCACACTGGGACCCCAGCTTTTGCCTGTCTTTAGACTTGATGTGAAACATCAGCTCTTCCTGGGTCTCAAGCCTGTAGTCTTCTAACTGAAAGTATATCATCACTTCTCCTGGTTTTCAAGCCCTCAGACTTGGACTGGACTGGAATTACACTATCAGCTCCCCTGAATCCCCTGCTCTCTGACTGCAGATCTGGGGACTTCTCAGTTGTCACACTCACATGAGCCAATTCTTATATTTAATATTTTTCTCTATGTACATCCTACTGGTTCTGTTTCTTTGGAGAACCCTGAGTCATATAACATCCCTCCTGTAAGGTAAGTGGTAAACAGAGAATGATAAGGCAGAAGAGGAAGGAGTGCGTAGGCTATGGAGATCTGGGGGAGAGAAGTTGGGGTCCTGGCAGAGAAAACACTCCAGAAACTGGTCACAAAAATACAGGATGAGCTATATTCTTCCTACAATGTATGGGAGTGATTTCTCAACTTTGCTATGACCTTTCAGGACAGGAAATGTAATGGGGAGGGGGATAAATGGAAGGGGCTAAAGAGTGAAGGTAATCTGGGAGCTTGATAAGAAAATCTGGGCCAGAGTGTAAGACAAGGGTTTTGAGCAATCTTACAACTATGTGAAATGTGCTGGGGAACAAAGAATGAGAGAAAAGTCGAGAGGCAGGGAGGGTGAGGGAGAGACATTCTGAGAGGGTAAGAGAAGGGCATACAGAGAGGACATCTCAAAGACTAAGAACGATGCCTTCAGCCGGTCTTGCTTGCTCCTCTCTAAAGATGAAAACAAGTGTCATTTCACTTTATTACATAAAATTTTGCCTATTTTTAACTCACTCCAGCCAACATTTCTTACTCACTTATTCAACAAATATTTATTGAGTGCTTACTCTGTACCAGGCCCTGGTCAAAAGTGCACAGGATATAGCTGTAAACCAAACAGTCAAAATTCTCTGCCCTCCTGACTGTCAGATCGTGCCTCCTGCTCTAGTAAAACCAAAATTTTGAACAAAAAAGACAATCCCTGCTCTGAAGGAGCTTATTGTCCAAGAGGATGATTTACACACGCACAATTAATGATAACAGGACAATGTGACACACGGGAAAAGGCTTCAGGAAATGAGAATTACTCCCTCCTAATTTTTTTGACCCACTTTGAGATCCTGCCATTAAACCACATGATTATTTAGTGCCTAACAAATTACAAACTGCATCTGACATATATTATCTTACGTCATGCTCTGAAAATAATTTCAAGTGAGATAAAAACAGATTATTAATTGCAAATTTGAGAAGATAAAAGCTCAGTTGTTTAAAAATATGTTTTTATTGATTTTTAGAGAGAGAAAGGAAGGGAGAGGGATAGAGAGAAACATCGATGAGAGAGAAACATCATCTATAGGCTGCCTCCTGCATACTCCACACTGGGGATTGAGCCTGCAACTGGGCATGTTTACTGACTGGGAATAAAACAGGTGACGCGTTGGGTCCTGGATTGACCCTCAACCTCTGAGCAACACCAGCCAGGCTCAATTATTGACAGACCTGTTTTTATGGAGAATTCTATATTTCTCTTTCCATTTATGGCAAGCCACATGTCCTGCCTTTTCTAACCTCTCCTACTGGTGGGAGAGTGAAGTATTGAGTGCATGGGGCTGGATAGCCAGTGGCAGAGCTGGTTGTGAGTGGTTATGAATCAAGGGTAACCAGGTGGTTGCAAAAGGAAGTATGAGGTGGTGGATACAGGAGTGGTATTTTGTACTAGAATTGACCATGCATGTCCAATTTATGTGTAATGCCATGTGAGGATGAGTGTTATATGATATTAAAAATTTCTAGGGAACATTTCCCCTGTATCTACAGACAACTTTACTGTGCACAGATGTATGTTTTTCCTGCCTGTCAAGCTGGTCTCACAAAGGGGGGAGGCTGAATAGAGGGAATGGAAGGCACCCACCAGAAAGGGGGCAGGTTTCTTAGCAGTCCTCTCTCAGGAAACTCAGCCAGCCTTTCCAAAAATGCTGGATAAGAGGACCCGTTCTCCCAGGATACTTACAGGACAGAACCAAGGAATTGCTGCAGGCCCAAAGTCAAGGGGACTGCAGCACAAAGCCTCAGATTTTCCTCTAGCAGCATGTATTTAGAAGAGTTTGTCAGTCCTTTTCATCTTCATCTTCCCCCTGAGAGGTGGGCAGGGTAAGTACTGATGTTCTCACTCTATGGATGAGGAACCAAGGCTGACATGTTTAGTATTTATGGAGTTTACAAACAAGTGACATGTGGAGTAGAGTTTTGATTTCAAGTATGTCTGATTTTTAAATCACAGGTTTCTTTTTCTATGATACAATTTTCCCCCTATGAATAAAAAGTGAGGGGGAAATTGAAGTTTAAATTAAATAAATAAATATATATATAAATTTAACGATGTAGCCAGTCAGTGGAGCTTACTTACAGTACTGTTTTTATTTTTCACAATTAATTGTGGTGTGCACAGTCTTAATGTAACAAATCTCAGCCTTGTTTTTCATCTAAACTTTTAAAAAACATAGATATGTCATTTCTGTGTGTGCATGTGTGCATGTGGGGGTGTGGTGGAGGGAGTTAGCTATATATTCTATATTGAATCAGAATATCTAGGAGTTAGACTACAGGAATTTCCAGGTTATTCTGATGGATAGCCAGGGTTGGAAACTACTATTAGGTCTTCTGCTTAAGCAGAGTCTGGTTCTGATGGCATAGCTTGACCAGGTCTCTTCGAATGGTGTCCAAACACTGATCATGCTTGCATATGGTTATAACTTAACAAGGTTCCTATTGGTTGGCATACATGGAACAATCTATTTATGATAGTCAGAATTATGTGATAACCCAATAACCTATGTCCTCTATATTTCGCTCCCCTTGGTAAGATCATGGTTTTTTAAATACATTCTGCCAATCTTTGTCTTTTTATTGGAATGTTTAATTCATTTACATTTAATGTACTAACTGATAATGTAGGATTTCCATTTTTCTATTTGTTTTCTATATGTCTTATATTTTTTCTGTTCCTATGTTATTTTCACTAATAAATTCTGAGTTACATAGTTTCAAGTGTGGCATCTTAATCCCTTTGCTCCTTTTGCTATATTTTGGAGTTATTTTCTTAATGTTTTCCATGGGTATTACACTTAACATCATAATTTATCACAATTTAGTTTATTTTAATACCCACTTAATTTCAATAATTTATAAAAACTTTGTTCCTAGCTGAATTTCCTCCTTTCTCCTTTGTCATATTATTGTTATACAAATTACTCCATTTTACATTATTTGCCTATCAAAAGATTTATAATTATTACTTTATACAGTTGTATTTAAAATGTTATAGAAGAAAATAATTACAAAGGCTTTATAATGCCTTTATATTTACCTCTGTACCTATATTTATCTTTACTAATGCTCTCCATTTCTTCATGTAGGTTTTATTTACTGTCAAGTGTCCTTTAATTTTCTCATGAAGAACTCTCTCTAGTATTTCTTGTAAGGTAAGTCAGCTAGCGACAAATTCTCAGTTTTTGTCCACCTGGGAATGTTTTATCTTTTCTCTCTCTCTCTCTCTCTTTTAAGGATAGTTTGGCTGGGTATAGAATTCTTTCTTAATAAGTCTGAGTCAGTTCAAATAAAGACAACCCTTCACATGAGAGTTGGTAGAAAACTGAACTGGTCAAATAATAACAGTTCTCTGGGAACCCACTAGTAGCTGCTAGACTGCTCATATTTACTGAAATTGTGAGGCTGTTAGTTTTCAAGTGTATATCAGCACTGAGAAGAAAGGGATGGAACTTAAAACACCATATAGTTTGTTTTTCTTATAGAGATTATTGAGTAAAAATTTCTTGTTGCAAGCTTTTGATTAATTTCCAGATTCTTGAAAAGTTTTTGCTTTTTGTTCTGTTGGCTTTTATGAAGGAGCAGATTTTTCGAAGTCCTTATTCTGCCTTTTTCTCTAACATTATCTTCCTTAGCTTATGTTAATTCTTCAAACAAGTTTTAAAGGATTCTTTACATTATCTCTTTGAAAGTGGAATAATAATATCTGACCTGTCTCATTTTAGTTTATGGTAAGAACTAAAAGGGATAATATAGCTAAAACATAAGTAAGCAAAATAAGGGCAAATTGAAATGAAATATATACTGTTATAGTTCTTTTGTTAAGATATATACCGGTATTAGTCTAGTGTCCTGGCAGAGATGCCTGCTCTCCTCAACACTTGTGCTTCCTCTTCCAACGTGTAAAGTTATTGCTGAGAGATGATTTTCTAGCCATGGACAATATCTTTAGCTCTCTACCTCTTACTAGTATATCTAGGAGGGATCATGCAATTGGTTTTCACCAATGGATTGTACACAGGATGTTAATGCTTAGTCAGAGGGGTTAAGGAATGTTTGTACATCTCTTTTCCCTTCTTTCAGTTTGATGCAAAAGGGCATGGTGACGTTGGGGGCCATGTGTTGAGGACAATAGAGCTGTTAAGATGGAAACCCTTACTCAAAAGAGCACCATTCTAGATTTATTTATTTATTTATTTATTTATTTATTTATTTATTTATTTATTTATGTGAATGAGAAGTAAACTTCTGTTATGCTTGATCTAAATGCAAGAGGCACTCCTACAAGATAAGGCTAACATCTGGGTTAATATATTATCCTGTATGCAATAGCAAGACTTTGGGTAAAATGATTTCACTTGGCCATGTTAATTTGAGGATCTGAGAGTGAGAGCTTCTACTAAAGTCAGCCAGTGTGGGCTTACCTCGATATGACAATCTAGGCTGGCACAAATAGCTGATGAAATGCTCTGTGGTCAGAAGAGACAATTTATAGCTGTCAGGTTGGGGGTTGATGATGTGTCCCCTGAGGAGTAGACCCTCCAATGAATAAGTGACTAGCCTTTAACTTCCTAGATAATATGTTAGACTGGAAAAAACTGGGCTCCTTTTATGTAGGTCGGGGGAAACTTCCACAGGCCAAGGTCAGACTCTTAAAAGAGGATATTCGGGTGGAAATATCTGGCTTGAACATTGATGTCAGTTATAACATCTGGAGAGTCGTTCTGGGAGTCAGGAATGACAGAGAAAACGCCATACTGTGGAAACAGAGGACACTTGCAGTGATTTTGGACACATGAGATACCCCAGGAACCCTTTGAATCAGAAAATGGGCTAGGAAATCTTGAAATTTTGCCAGTGACTGTTCTATAAAGGATAGTTCTTTAGTTGCTCCATTGTGGCATACATTTATCATTGAACCATCAGACTTTTGAAACCTGAGGAAATGCAGCCTACACACATATGCTATGATGAGCTGGGCTATGCAGCTTATAACGGAGGCAGAACAAGATGCTGTGATTTGCTCTCTCCCTTGCTCATTCTCTTTTACTGTCTGAATTTCACTTTTTTTTCCCCTCCCTAATTGTGTGACCACTGGGACTGGAGATCCTGTGGATGGAGTTCTGAGAAATCTAGGGGAATGTTGTAATGAGAAACTGTTTCCCATTGATCTTCTTCTCTCCCAGTAAGCTCCGTATTTGGACTGCTTTGGGCGTGGGGGGAATCGGGCAAGGGCAAACATCCAGGAACTTACATTGTCAGGAGCTTTGCGGTTTAGACTCAGAAATGCAGTGAACTGATAATGATGGCAAGCAGAGGTTAAATCTCCATCTCATCATCAAACTGGGAAGAATAAAGGATTTGTATTCAGTCACACAATGTGGAATGAGGGCAGCTCTTAAAATGATTGCTTAGGGTTCTTTTTAGCACAGCTTCTGTTTAGCTGTATGTGACAAAGTCTGCTCAAAAAGAAACTTTTGACTAGATATATAATAAATGAGAGATGCCCTTGGGAAAAGAGAAACACCTGTTTTCCCCTCACTTAGTTCAATTCCTACCCATTAATTACTTAGGAATATTTAGGTGGCAGGCACGCAGAACACAGAACCCCTGAGCCCTAGCCTTTGCCCCAACAAAACTCCCTTTGGCATTTTAAAATTAAGGGTTATTTTTTTTCTCCTTTGGCTAACTGGTTTGCTTTTATACTACCTCTATGGGGCCCGGGGAATACCCATCCCTGAACATACACAAATCCAAGTTTGAAAAGCCTGGTGTGAGAATGATCCATAGAAACAGGAGAAGGCCTGTGCTTTTGACCATACATGGACCTTGGCACTGTGATGTGGGGAATTTGCACGGGCTCTTACACAGCTTCTGCCCTGTGCCCTCAGCGGGCAGCTGTGCTTTCTTTAGCATGGATGCTTCCGGAGAGTGACGGCCCCTAAACCTTGGGAAGTTTCCCCCTCAACAGAAGAGCCCTGTCCAGGACATTAGCTAGAGCAGACATCACTCAAAAGGAGATGTTTCCTGAACATCTTCTCCTCTTAAATCCACTCCACTCCTCACCATAGGTTTGCAAGAACCCCTTTTATTGCCACTGCTCACAAAAGTTTTTAGAATGTTTCTTTTCCACTTAATTGACTTTCCAATTTCTTACTCACACTTGGCTTCTGTCTTTGTTTTACTTCTGTGCGAGTTGAAAGCAGTATTATTTAATAGTCACATATATACTTCCCGTAGGGCTACATCCTTGTTACAAGTCCACAGCTCCCTATTTTATTCCTTGAAATCAAGAGGAAATCCCCCACCAAAACGAGTTAGATAATTAGCTTGGCTACTGTTTGCTGCAGAAAGCATTTTGGGTTGGCTCTGGTCACTGTGCCTCAGCTCTAGGGCTGGGCCTCCCTTTCGGTGCAAGGGGCAGTCAGCACTAGCGCCAGCCAACCCCTGCTCCCTCACCACAAGCCCCTAATTGTTTATTAATGAAGCTTTCGCCAACCAAATCTACACATTGTCTAAACCTTCTTCCCCCAGAGAACATTCCAGCCCGCCCACGAAAGTGCGCGGTGGGGCCGCTCTCCAAAAAGCCTCATTCCGTCCTTGGTAGAGTTGGTTAGAATTCAAACTTTTTTTTTTTACTTTAATTGGCAGCACCAACTAAATATGAGATCATTTCTGACCCCTTCAAACTGGCAGCACAGGTGTCACCACTCAAAGCTGAGCTCGCTTCTCTGCCCAGTGCCCCCTAAGAACCGTGTCCCTCTCCGCTCCACAGTTGGCCTCCGGGCCTAGAAGACAGGACAGCCCTGGTGGAAACCTCCCCCACA